ATGTGGTGGTCGGGGGGGGGGGGGGGGCAGGGACGGTGTCCTCGTTCCGGCTTGCACCCTCTCTAATCTCCAATCCGGACCTCTTGGGGATATCCGCCTGCCGGGTTAGGCCCAGTCGGACATCCCTCTCGCAATCCGGGACCACTGGCTCCTAACTGCTTGTCTGCCTACCATCTTTTTTTTTTTATTATTAAAATATATTTTATTGATTTTTGACAGAGAGTCAGAAACATCGATCAGCTGCCTGCTGCACATCTCCTACAGGGGATGTGCCTGCAACCCAGGCAAATGCCCTTGACCGGAATCGAACCTGGGACCCTTCAGTCCGCAGGCCGACGCTCCATCCACTGAGCCAAACCGGTTTCGGCTGCCTACCATCTTGACTGCTGCCTAAGCGCTCCCCTACCGGCCTGATGGCCCCCAACTTGCCTCCCCGGCTGGACTCATGGCCCCCAACTACCCTGGCCTGCCATTCGGATCACCCCTAACCATCTCTTCCTCGACACCCACCACTGTGGCCTTTGACCTGAAGATGGCCAGTCTCCTGGTCTAATTAGGCTATTACTCTTTTATTAGTATAGGTTACATATTACTTTAATATCTCATTTCCCAATATATGACAGTCACTTTTTAAAGTATGTTTAGGCTGCCTGGCTGGTGTTTCTCAGTGGTTGAGCATCAACCTGTGAACCAAGAAGTCACAGTTGGATTCCTGGTCAGGGCACATGCCCGAGTTGCAGGCTAGATCCCCAGTGTGGGGTATTTTCCAAAGGAGGAAGCCGATCAGTGATTCTCTCGCATCGTTGATGTTTCTATCTTTTTCTCCCTCTCCCTTCCTCTCTAAAATCAACAATAAAAATATATTAAAGTGTGTTTAGGCTAAAAATGTACGGTCTTTTGGAATTACCCAAACAATTCAAATATTTGTAGAAAAAGTAAACAGCTACTTTTTCAATAGTTTATCAGTATTACTACTGAGTCCGGAAACTATGAGAATAACAAAAGACCTACTGTTTTACTTCCTCATAAATTCCAATTATGGAATCATAAATGGTACTCCATTTGAGGTGATATTTTATGCAGAATATTTGGTGAATTATACTGAATTGTTAGTATGATTTCTTCAGAGTTCTTA